TGAGCAAAGAAGTCGGGACCACGAGGGGTGCACCCACCCACTGAGACAGTGGAGCTGATCTATTGGGAGCTCACCAAGGCCAGCTGGACTGTGACTGAAAAAGCATGGGATAAAACTGGACTCTCAGAGCATGGCGAACAATGATGTCTGATGAGAAGCCAAGGACAATGGCACGGGGTTTTGAACCTACGTAATGTGATGGTTTTGTGGGAGCCTAGCCAGTTTGGATGTTCACCTTGCTAGATATGGACGGAGGGGGGAGGTCCTAGGTCTTACCACAGGGCAGGGAACCCTGACTGCACTTTGGACTGGAGAGGGAGGGGGAGAGGAGTGGGGGAAGGGGGAGAAGGGTGGGAGGAGGGGGAGGGAAATGGGAGGCTGGGAGGAGGTGGAAACTTGTTTTTTTTTTCTCCTTTTCTCAATAAAAAAACGGAAAAAAAAAAAAAGAAATTTCCCTATACCCCAACCATGTGTAAATTTTGTTGAGAGAAGGGAAGAGCTTGAATGTAGGGAAAAGAAAGAGGCAGAGGGATGCCTCTTCAGAAGGAAGAGGAGCAGAGCAGCTAAGAGAGGCTGGCACAGGCAAGCTGGAGAACGGTGGTGAGCCACGGGGCAGCCTCCTCCACCTCCCACCCACAAGGCCCTATTTCTGCATCTTGAGGGTCATGCATCCACACATGCATCTGACGGAGGGAGAGACCTGTACACAGTCAGCAGGGAATTGGCTGCTTGCAGTTGAAAAAGTGCATGAATGTAAAACAGAGAATCTGAAATAGTGAGGGGGGTATTTTTTTTTTCAAAAATACTGCCAGCCAAGGACACACTCTCTGCCCACCAGCTCTTCTCCCCTCTTTTCCTTCTATGCCAAGTTTTTATTCATTGCGATAACAATCAAGGTCTCTTCTGCTGGCCTGCAGTTTCCCTTCTTAACCCTTTTCTGTTCTGATACTGCTTAAATTAAAATGTGAAATTATACCAACCTGTACACTTTGGGAAGCACTGATTTTAAATTAAAAGTCAAAGATACATTATGTTCAGAAAAATTATGCTTTTGTTTCCACAGGGGAAAAAATATGGGTTTTAGTCATTTAGATCCAATGGGTTACAAATAATTATTATCTTTTAAAAAATTTTGGTATAAATTATTATTAATTAAAATATAGATTACTTATTCTGTTTTTGTCTTAAATGCTATATCTATGCAATGTTCTGGAATGCTGAAAGAAATCACAGAAAAAGACTTTAATAAAAATTTTCATGTTGTCTAAAAAATGAAAAAAAAAGACAAAAAAAGTTTTTAATGAAGGTTTTTATGTTGTCTAAAAAGCAAGAAAATGTAGACCATTAAAATAGTAATAATAATAATAATAATAATAATAACAACAACAACAGAGGAGCAAAGACAGAAAAAGCCAGACCTAAACATTGCAAAAGCTATATGAAAATCAAAAAAGGTATGGAAAAAGTTGTAACATAGCAATAGAGAAGAAGGTACCTGAACTGGCCTTGCCCTATAGTCAGTGATGAATATCTTAAATATCACCAGAGAACCTTCATCCAGTAACTGATAGAAACAGAGACCCACATCAGGGCACTGGACTGAGCTCCCAAAGTCCAGTTGAAGAGTGGGAGGAGTGAGAATATGAGCAAAGAGGTCAAGACCAAAATGGGTACACCCACTGAATCAGTTTACCTGAGCTAATGGAAGCTCACCAAAATCAGCCAGACTGGGAAGGAACAAGTATAGGACCAAAGTAGTCCCTCTGAATGTGGTTGACAGTTATATGGCTGGGGCAGACTGAGGGGCCACTGACAAGTGGCACCAAGATTTGTCTTTACTGCCTGTACTGGCTTTGGGGGAACCTATTCTCTTTGAATAGATACCTTGCTCAGCCAAGATATAGTAGGAAGGACCTTGACCTTCCCCAAAGCAATGTGCCCTACCCTCTCTGAGGATTAGATGAGGATGTAGTGGGGGGAGGTATGTGGAGGAAATGCGAAGAAGGAAGGGAGTGGGAAGTTGGATTGGTATATATAATGAAAAAGATAGTTTGTTTTCTTTTTTAAAAAATAAAAAAATAGAAGGATCTTCTGTATTTATGATATGCTAAATAAATACTCTTAGGTCATTTAAAAATGTTGTTAAAGGGCCAGAGGACATAAAATATGTTTTCTGTGGTTTCTCATACCTACAAACACTAATATGTATATATGTATATACATATATATATAGCTAAATGTTTGAACATATTAAATTAATTCTGATTTTTAAAAGTCTTGTTTGCCTTGCTAAAGGGTTACGTCTATTTCTTGAGAAAATTATGGATGTTTGTTTTTTGAAGTTAGTCTACATTTTCTGGTGTAATTGTAAGTTTTGTACTTGTAAATTTTCCTGAGCTCTGGTCACTAGATTTGGATTAGCCAGAATTCAGATGTCTTTTCGATGAAGGTAATGTTATTAAAACTGTTTTATGTTGTTCCTTATTGAAAAGCTGCACCTCAATGTTCTTACACAAGAATGTAGCTTACTCTGGCAGCTAAACTTTACAATTCAAGAGTCACACAAGTGAAAGACGTAAAGGGATCACAGGGAGCAACAGAGACTAGAGTCCCAAAAAAAGGCCAGTTGCAAGGATGGACCTTAACAGTTTTAGAAATGCCAATGCCAGGTGATGGTCATCAGAAGCATCAGCTACAATGAAATAAAATAGGTTATGTAACATTTGTGCTTATAAAATGTTTTATATTGTTAATGTTTAAATTTAGCCAATACAAGCAAATTTATAGTAGAACTTGCAGTTTAAAAAAAATGTGGATAAAGGCATGGTGGCAAGTAAATAATTGAGAGTTAACATGAAAAATTAAGTATTATAATAAATTTCAATGATTTTGATATTGTGCTAAATGCTGCCCTATTTAATGTTTCTATTTTAAAAGCTTTGAAACCCAGAGAAATTGGGTTAGAAATGCATGTGTTACAAATTTCTATTCTAAAGTTAAAATAATAGTGTCATAAAGAGGGTAGGTGAGCATGGCTTGAACTATGAACTTAAAGGTCTTCCCAAGAAAACAAGATTAAAATTTAGGAGGAAAGAAAACAAATTGGGAGAGGGAAAATGGCAATGAAACACAGATAAATATGGCTGAGCAGCAGTGAACAGGAAATACTATTGGTCTTATGTCCCTACCTCAAACCCTGACTCCACATCAAGCAGTAATGGTGGGAAGTCAAGAAGATACCGATCAATACGCTTTGGTACGTGCAGTAAATATAGGAATGAGGTGAGCATGCACCACTCCCCAATGTGAGGGCCTATTTATACCCAAGAAGTACAGACACACACTGTTTCCGCCTACATTCCTGGGTCTACTTTTTTTTTAATTGTTTCAAACTCTTCACCTCCTGTCCACTGTCTTTAACAGTTCCTTAACTTTCTCTCTGGTTGTTTAGAGAAGAGTTACAAAAAGAAAGAACAGTTGAGGGCTGGAGATATGGCTCAGTGGATAAAAGCACTCGCTGCTCTATTAGAGGACACAGGATGGCTCGCAGCTCTCCATCGTTCAAGTTCCACTGCATCTGATACCATCTTGTGGTCTTTGTGGACACTGGACACACACACCCACTCACTCACATAAAATAAATTCAAGTATATCTCTTTTTTTTTTTTGAATTTTCGAGACAGGGTTTCTCTATAGCTTTTGGTTCCAGTCCTGGAACTAGCTCTTGTAGACCAGGCTGGCCTCAAACTCACAGAGATCCGCCTGCCTCTGCCTCCAGAGTGCTAGGATTAAAGGCATGCGCCACCATCGCCTGGCTCAAGTATATCTTTGTAAAAAAAATAAATAAATAAAATAAAACATCATGATGGAAAAGAAGGAGAGTTTTAAATATCCCAAAAGCTATAATAGAATATGACAGTTGCTGATATTTACACAAATAAATATGATGCTTTTTGATTTGGTATTGGGAAGATACCCTAATGGTCTCTCTGTTCAGTTTTGAACGCAGTAGATAGTTTAGCCCATGTAGAAGTCATTCCTTATGTCTGATCATTGAGTAAAAGTTTTATATTTTTTGGTTGAAAAAAACAATGTCTAAATATTAATCAGAGTACAGTGCCAGGTACATTCAAGCTGAGATTGTTTTTAGGTTTGCAATGAACATCTTTAAGTCTAAAACAGTAACTTTCACTCAGAAAGTACCATAAAGATTCATGACCTCCTGCAAGAGATCCAGGTATCGGTACTTTCATCTCCCAGAGCTAGAAAGAAAAATCAGTGTGACAGAAACTGTCACAAAGCCAGAACACGAAAGTCAGAGAGTAGGGTCTATAAACTCCAGTCATTCATCCCAGGGAAAGAATCAGTTCTTACACTTAATGGGGGCTGAAGTTGAATTTGACACATGAATGACAGAGAACTTGCTAAGTATCAGGTGTACCCTGATAGTTAAGAGGAAATACTTGGTAGTCCAAGCACATAGGATCCTGGAAATTACTTATTTTGCTTCATGGTCAACTCGAGGCTGCCTTCTCTGTATTGACACACTTTAACTCTTTCCCCTTTAACTTCCTTTGCTTCAGGTCAAAGTCAGTACTGAGAACGATCTAAACATCAAGGACCTTGATCCTCATGCAACATAAACTACTTGCATATGTCCCAAAGCCAAATTGTTCCAGAACATTGAAGTCTCTGGTAAGTGGGAACATTTCCTACCTGCCTATGAAGGTCAGATAACAATGAATATCAGGACATATCAGAGTAAGAGAAAAAGATACCATGCTGTAGCAGGAAGAAAGGGGCACAGTGACTGGAGCAATAAGGAGAAATCACATTGAAAGGAAATGAGGAGCAGAAGGAAATGAAAGTAAGGGAACAGAGTTCAAACAGCCACTGGATCTTGAATGTAGGAAATGGAATCAGGATATGTTAAATCCAGGGTGGATTAGGGTGCAGCATGTGGACTTCATGAGTTGACAGATCCAATTTTCTTTCTGAATCAAATGCTGTCATACAAGGGAAGGCAGAAGTTGTGCCAGCTAAGGGCATATGTCCTGACCTGGAGAATGTATTCCCAACAACTGGATACAAAGGGACTATTACACATGAAATCATTTTAACACCATAAATTGGAAGTTCTCCCACAAATCATGGTCACCAATATACCCACTGGGAGAAGTGTTCCTGTCTTGTATGTATCCCTGTAGTAAAATAAAAGAGGCTGAAATGAACTCTGTGCTCAATTAGCCATGCAAAAATAGGCTTCTACAACTTCATAATGGACTTTGTCATTTTCCCCAAATGACTGCTATATCTGCCCAGATAACCAAAGATTTCTTTACCACTGTTTTCCAGAATGCATTCACAAAAAAATGATAATAATCAGATACATTAGAATCCTAGTGACTGAGGACAGGACTGGGGACTCACCACTTGGCATAGAAGAGAGCATGCCCAAAGTCACAATGAGCAACTCTTCCCAGAGTAACACTGAAATCTCAAAGCAGAACTAACAAAAGTTTCAAGTTATTCCACCATCACAGTTCAGCTCCATCCAGCTGTCACTCTGACTAGCTGACCTGTACTTTTCTTCTTTTCCACTACTGGCCAGAAAATGACTCAGAGTTCATGGCGCATTTGGAAGTTCAAATGTGTACTGTGTATTGTGTCTTTGAATTTGCTGACAAAAGGAAAATTCCAAATGTGAGTGTGAAACAAAGGCATGCTGTTAACATGAAGCACAGCTGGTGGAAGTATATAAATCGGCATGGCTTTTGGATAACAGTCTGATGCTGTGGGACAATGCTCTTGTACACTGTAATGGTTTGACAGTTATGCTGGTTTAATAAAATGCTGACTGGCCAGTAGTCAGGCAGGAAATATAGGTAGGCGACCAGAACAGGAGAATTCTGGGAAGAGGAAAAACTCAGTTTGTAGTCGTGACCCGGACACAGAGGAAGCAAGTTGAAAATGCCTCACTGATAAAAGGTATCAAGCCACGTTGCTAACATGGACAAGAATTATGGACTAATTTAAGATGTAAGAAAGAGTTAAGAAGAAGCCTGAGCTAATAGGCCAACCAGTTTATAATTAATTTAGGCCTCTGTGTGTTTCTTTGGGACTGAATGGCTGCAGGACTACAAGCAACAGAAATCTTTGTCAACAATCTAACATTACTGTCAAATACTTTATGTACATATCTGATCTTCCAGGATGCTCACAACTGGAAGTTATGATGACAGATGACACTTCAACACTCTGTTTCCTAGGCCAACATATTCTCTATCAACGACACAGAGCTACTTAACAGCCATGCTTCCAAAACATATGTCACACACTGCAGGACCCCATTGCCTGGGGAAGAAAGGGATCCAGGTCACAGGAAGTACACAGAGAACTTGATACAGTAGTACTGACAATTAACAGCAATGTTGGAAACGGGAATCTGAGGCTTTGAGTGGTACACAAACTCACTCAGATCCCAACCCACCAGCCCTCACATTCACACTCCACTTCTTCTTACTTACAACCTCCCAACAGCCATCCTGGTCACTACCAGGACATGATATATATGACTACAGGAAGTTGGCAGTAGAACTTGCCCTAGATAGGATCTCCACTCTACCTTAGAAACTCAATCAATAAAAGGAAGCCCAGGACAGACTTGATAATTTTCCCCCAAACTGTTAGCTATAGAGAAATGAGAAGGGGGAATTTCAGGAGAAAGTGATTCCCCTGGAACCTCTAGAAATAAGCACTGACCTAACTTGTTTGAATTTCTTAGACTAGTACCCCTCCCTAACAACTTTGGGAGTGGTATATACATAATAAAAATGAATTATGGAATGGGGAATGGTTCAGTGTTAGAGTGTTTGCCTGGCATTTGGAAGGCCCAAAAATCGATTCCTGGCACAACAAAAAAAGGAAAAAAAATTTAAAAAGATAAATTAGAAACTACATCTTTGCAATTAGGAAGAAATATAGACCATTGGCATAATTCCTTCTGTTTTACCTTTCAGGTATTCATTATTTTTACTTTTTACCTTAATTTTAAACTTTAATTTTGTTAATATTAGTATTTAATTTTTACTTCAATTATTCATGTGTTTGAACTTGTATCTGAAATATATACGTAGCTGTTATATTTCTCTTTACCTAAAAATAATATTTTTCCTATTACCTTTCAATTCTCTATCATACACACTTTTCTTGTTGTTATTTATTTCCTACTTTTACCCCTTTTCCTTTCACTCTTAATCATTAATTGTTGACACCCTCAAACCTAAAGAAAACATATCTAAGCTACATTTTATCCAACGTCTTTTAGCAATTCTGGTACTTTTAAGAGGTAAAAGTGTAGTACACAAATTTCTTCTCCTGCAACGAACATCAGAAGTGCTCTCAAGTGATCATATGTGTTGCTGGCTTTGGTCTTGAATACAAAGTCAAGAGAAGGCAGTATATCAGATTGAAAGTAAAAATAAAACAAACAAAATAAGCATTATTAAAGAGAAAATGCCAGCTATAATACAAGGGCAAACCCATCAGACTAACATCAGATCTGTTGTCAGCAACTGTACAGGACAGAAAAATGTAAAGAACTGTGTTTCAAGTGTGAAGGTAAATAACTGTCAACCAGCTTTATCATACCAAGCAAATTAAAACAGACAAGAGAAATAATAATATTTCAAGACAGAGAAACTAAGGCAATTCATGAAAACTAAACTACCATTTGTAGAAAGTTCTTAAAGGAATGTCATACATGGGAAAAAGAGAAGACAGTCTCGCCAGTGAAAACACAGAAAGGAATACATTTATTTCGTGAGAGGAGCAGATGATCAGAGGACAGCCAGGAAAGAACCAATCATGTCAACATGGCAAACCAGAAGATCCCCAGTGTTGTGGGAGCTCCTTCTGCTCTTTCAGCCAATAGCCGCTGAGATACCAGCGATTGGGGTGTGGTCTCTCTCCCTTTAAAAAAAGTGTTCAAGAAGGTGGATAGGGGAGCACGGAACCACAATTCTTAGTTAAGGGAGCCACTTTAGGGTGGGCAAGCGACTTGACCCTAGAGGGGCTCCCTAGTGCCCAAGATGAGGTTCCCAGTTAGTTCCTTGGGCAGCTGAGGATTGGGAACCTGAAATGACCCTATCCTAGAGCAATACTGACGAATATCTTGCATATCATCATAGAATCTTCATCTGGTGATGGATAGAGATAGAGACAGAGACCCACACAGGAGCACTGGACTGAGCTCCCAAGGTCCCAAGGAGGAGCTGAAGGAGGGAGAACATGAGCAAAGAATTCGGGACCACGAGGCGTGCATCCACCCACTGAGACAGTGGAGCTGATCTATTGGGAGCTCACCAAGGCCAGCTGGACTGTGACCGAAAAAGCCTGGGATAAAACCGGACTCTCTGAACATGGCGAACAATGAGGGCTGATGAGACACCAAGGACAATGGCAGGGGGTTTTGATCCTACTTAATGTGCTGGCTTTGTGGGAGCCTAGCCAGTTTGGATGTTCACCTTCCTAGATATGGACGGAGGGGGAAGGACCTAGGACTTAACACAGGGCAGGGAACCTGGACTGCTCTGTGGACTGGAGAGGGAGGGGGAGAGGAGTGGGGGGAGGGGGAGAAGGGTGGGAGGAGGGGGAGAAGGGTGGGAGGAGGGGGAGAAGGGTGGGAGGAGGGGAAGGGAAATGGGAGGCTGGGAGGAGGTGGAAACTTGTTTTTTGTTTATGTTTTTTTTTCTTCTTTTCGCAATTAAAAAAAATGCAAAAAAAAAAAAAAAAAGTGTCCACTTCCCTCCTTTGCTCTCTGGCTTCCAGCTCTGCTTCCAGCAACTAGGCTCCCTTCCTGATTGCGCAGAGGGCTGTTGTCTGGGACGGCAATCTGTAAGTTTTTTCCCCTTAAATAAATAACTATTCTATTAATTATAATTGCAAACTGGTGTGGGATTGTTTGTGATTTATGCCTTCACCCCAGCATTACCATGGAAGGTTCAAAAGAACTATCAATAGTCCAACCAATTAGAATAACCAAGAAAATCATGGGAAAGAGCAGACATCTCTTCAAAATAATTAAGTGCAAATGACATTAACTCACCAAGGAAAATATGCTGAGCAACTGATTGGATTTAAAAAAATAAGTTTCAATAATCTATTGTCTCCAAGAAAGACACCTGTGTAGCAAAGACATTCAAAAACTGAAAACCAAAGGATGGAAATCAACTTACCATGCAAAGAGAAACTATAAGTAATCTAGATTCATGATTCTCATTTTGGATAAACCAAAATTGAAAACAAAACTAATCATAAGAGAAAATGGCATCCTCCAGAATATTAACAGAGAGAACAAATCATTAGGAATACATAACTATAGTAAATATTGATTCACTTAACTCTGGGCATTCAGCTTAGTAACAAAATCATTAAAGATATAAAATGTCACATACATCCTAAAACAATAATAGTGAGAGACTTTAATATCCCACTTTTAAATTGAGAATTTTTTTTACTTTAGTCGAAAATAATTTTCAGAGCTAAATTATATATATATATATATATATATCAACTATTTCAAGAGCTATCTATAAAACATCCCATCTAACATATGAAGAGTACATGTTCACCTAAATGATTCATGGAACTTCATATAAAAGGGACCACAGTAGAGGACACAAAGCTAGACTTCATGAATACAAAACTATTAGAATAATTCTTTATATCTTCCCAAACTAGAGTGGATTAAGTTAGAAACCAAGAAAACACAGAGCCTACACTAATACTGGAGATCTAAAATTACAATGTTGAGTATGAATAAATCACTGAAAAAAACTGGAGAAAAAGTATTTTCTAATCCAAACAATCAAATAAAAATTATAACACAAGCTATCAGATTCCTTAGGTTACATTCATGACAGATGTGGAAAGGATGGATATAGCTGTAAGTAAATGTATTAAAAGGTCAAAGAGAGGGCAGAAGAGGTATCTTGGCAGTTAAAGCACTGGCTGCTCTTGCAGAGGACCCAAGCTTCAGTTCCCAGCATCCACACAGCGGCTCACAACTGTCTGTAACTCCAGTTACAGGACATATGATGTCCCCTTCTGACCTCCACAAACACTAAT